ACGAATGATCTCCCCCAGCGGCTTCACATAAATATTGAACAGGAGTGGAGAGAGGACCGACCCTTGTGGCACCCCACAAGTTAGGGGCCTTGGGGTCGACCTCTGTCCCCCTGCCAATACAGACTGCGTACGATCGGTGAGGAAGGAGGAGAACCACCGCATAACCGTGCCTCCCACTCCCAACCCACCCAAACGCCACTATATAATGAGTGATTCTGGTTTTTATAAAGTATTTTTTCTTAGTTCTGATTATTTACAAGACCCATTTAATGAATAAAATAATAGGTCATCTTCCAGGTTTGGTAATTATAAACAATGATCTGTAATATACTTTGGATCTTGTCATCATGAAACAGAAAAGAGACAATCTTCTTATTAGCAGTTACAAGTAAATTTCTAATTAAATCTACAGTATACATGTCTCTCTCTATGGTTGCAACATACACACACTCCTTAACTTAGGACCATAGGTTTAGTGACTGTTCAAAGTTATGACAAAAAGATGTTAGTTGTTGAGACTTTGGAAAAGGTGCAGAGAAGATCAACTAAGATGATTAAAGGGCTGGAGACTAAAACATATTAAGAATGGTTGTAGGATTTGGGTTTTGCTGGTCTAGCAAAAAGAAGGACTGAGGGGATATGATAGCAGTATTCTAGTATTTGAGGGGCTGCCATAAAGAAGAGGGGTCATCTTATTTTCCAAAGCACCAGAGGGCAGGACAAGAAATGATGGATGGAAACTAATCAAGGAGAGAAAGAAACTGGAATTAAAGATAAACTTCCTAACAATGAGAACAATTAACCTATGGAACAGCTCGCATTCAGAAGTTTGGGTGTGCCAACACTGGAGATTTTTAAGAAGAGATTGGACAATTACTTGTCAGAAATGGTATAATGATAGGAAAATGTGGGTTAGACCACTATATGGATTTATAACTGACTCACCAACCATACTCAATGTGTAATCCTAAGTGGAACTGCATTTACATGGAAGGAAGTATGCAGTAGGTCACCCCAAGGCTTTGTCGTAGAACTAGTACTCTTGAGTATCTTCGTCAATAATTTAAACAAGCGGATAGAAGGGAAACTCATCAAATCTGCTGATGACACCAAGCTGGAAGGAATAGCCAACACTGCAGAAGATAGACGGAAGATACAAAAAAATCTTGACAGACTCAAACACTGGGCCCTATCTAACAAAATGAAATTTGGTCATGAGAAAAGTAAGGTTCTACACTTAGGAAGAAAAACCAAATGCACAGATATAGAATAGGTGGTACTTGGCTCAACAGTAGTAACTGTGAAAGGGATCCTGGAGCCCTAGTGGACAATCATTTGAATATGAGCCAGCAGTATGATGTAGTTGCCAAAAAAACCCAATGCAGTCTAGGACTGCATTAACAGAAGGATAGAATAAAGGTCACGTGAAGTGTTAATACTACTTTATAATGCCTTGGTATCACCACACATGGAATATTGCATCCAGTTTTGTTCACCACGATATAAAGAAAATGTTGAAACTCTAAAAAGAGTGCTGAGAAGACCAACAAGGATGATTAGGGGACTAAGGGGTAAAACATACTGTGTGAAGAATAGTTGCAGGAATTGTGTATGTCTAATTTAATGAAAAGAAGGATTAGGGATGACATGATATCTCTATTCCACTATCTAAGGGGCTCTTACAGAGAAGAGAGAGTCAAGCTATTCTCCAAAACACCTGAAGGCAGGACCAGAAGCAATGGGAGGAAATTAATCAAGGAGAGGGAACCTAGAAGCAAAGAAAAAAGTTCCTGACCATTAGAATAATTAATCAGTGGAATAAATTACCTCTGGGAGTTGTGGGTGCTCCATCACTGAAGGTTTTTTCAAAGAGATTGGGCAACCATTTGTCTGGAATAGTATAGGGTTTCCTGCTTGAGCAGAGGTTTGGACTAGAAGACCTCCAAGGTCCCTTCCAATTCTGTTATTCTATTATTCCTAACTCTAACTGGGATCAAGGAAACCACCTTAAGGTTAACTAGGGGATTTAATAGAATTCATACAAAAGGTGACCATCTTGATCTCTCCTTCAAGCTCTTGGAGGGAATTTGGGATTGGTCTTTAAAAAAAAAAGATGCCAGATGAACTGTCAATCAGAATAAGCAAGTATCAAGCATGGGGTTTTTATGTATATCCATATTTTAGAAAAGAATAAGGAACCCCTAGAATATCACCCTCAGTGTCTCGTTTCCTACAGAGATACTTTTGGAGAACATAGAGATTTCAGCCATGAATATTTGGTTTGGGAAGAATTTTACAGAAATAATAATATATCATTCTTTTATGTGATATGTCCTTTAAAAACTAATGATGTGGTTATCTTCAGTGGTGTAATGTGGAAGTGAAATAATTGCTCTCCAAACCCAGGAGGTTCCATTTGGAAGAGGTGACTATTCATGGGCAATTAAGCTAAATGACTATTATTGATGTTTCATTACACAGCTCCAACAGTTTTCCACAAAATACTGAGACACAATTCAAAAGTCAGTCTGGAAGAGGTTATAAAAAACCATTCAGGACTGCAGTTGAGGAAAAAGAGGCAGGCAGGTTCTTGTCCCTTTGGACTCTGGTAGTGAATTCCATTTACTAGAATGTGCTTTTCCAGCAATTGTCTGGATCATTGGTCTGATACTTGGTAAACCAGCGTCAAAGAATCTTTTGGAGTCTTAAGGATCCCTAACTGTATTATTGGATATGTTTTTGTGGATCAAGTTAACTATAGTAATACAATAGTTACTTCATAATGGTCTTTTTTGATGAATATGATCCAGATCATTAGAGTCATTGTGTACATTTTTGGGATATGATAATGATTGGCTGGCTGCTGAATCAGTGTTCCTAGATTTTGTAGTAGATGGGAAATTGTCTCACCATTTGCAGTGGTGGGATTCTAGACAGTAAGATATAAGTCTCCTCTAGAGAAAATGTTGAGGGAAGTGATCATACTGTGGTTGATGGTTGACATGAAGTGCCAAATAGATGCCACATCTTGCCCCAGAAGTGATCCTTCTCATCTCCTTCATGAATGGTATCAACCAGGAAACCTTCTTATTGGTGGGATCACAGCTCAGACTATATATGTACTTGATGAACATTACTTTGAAGAACATCCTTCACAGAAGTCATTTATGCCACCTCTGTAAGAAATTTCCTTTTCCTTTTCCTTCATTTCTGAAAAAAAAAATAGGCTCAAGGGTGCTTTTGTAAATTAAGCAGAGTAAAGTGCAAGGTTTCACACCAGCTCTTTACCAGTTTTAGTTGTAATCAAAGTTCCTGACAATATTATATCCAGATCCTTTGTAATAGCAATGTGGGAAGACCATTGTTATTGTGAAGAGTTAATGACATATTTTGATATCTCCTTCATACTAAGAAAAGCCTCCAAGTTCAGCTAGCCTCCTTCTTTACTCATCTTGCTAAAGGTGGAGGGGATTTTTACACAGCTTCAAAGCTTCTCTTGCGATGGAAGTCTCAGACTTATGATTCCCATCCTGGAGTCATGTGCCACTCAATCAAGGTCAGATAATGCAGTTTCCTGCCATAGAAGGCAATGAGGTCTGATGCTTGGTTTTGATAAAAACTGCAGGATTGTGGAGGGGAGCTTCTGCCTGAAACTTAGCAGTAGGTATTGTGGAAACTATCTACCGATGGGGTATCTCTGTTGTTCTTACTAAGGACCTCCTGGCAGCTTATAAGAGAATTGAATATTATCTTGCTTGATATACTTTTTATGTTATACTTTTCTATCTGTTTTAGCAAAAAAAAATAGTTACTATTGTTTTAGCTAATTATTGTTATTACCTTGTTATTAAGTATGTTGTTGATATTGTTATTATTGCTTCCTTGAATATATTTTACTTGCATCTTTCTCTTTATCTCACTTATCCCTCCATTATGTTTATAGAGTGGTTTTAAAATTGTATCAGCATTCCCTGAGTTTGGCATTTGCTGTGGAACAAATCAACTCAAATCCAAGACTTTTGTCTAATGTTACTTTGGGATTTTTCATCTCTGACAACTATTTTGATGCCCGGCTGACTTACCATTCCACTTTGGAACTGCTCTTCCGATCTGATCAGTTGGTTTTCAACTACAGATGTGATATCAAGGATAATCTCCTTTTGGCCATTATTGGAGGATTTGGTGCTGATATCTCATTCTTCATGTCAGATATCACAAGTCTTTACAAAATCCCACAGGTAAAACATATATATTGGCATGTATGAAAACCCATCCATGTGGCAAAATTATAGGGAATTGGAAATGATCATTTATCAAGTAGGGGTTAAATTCTACTTGAATGATGCATAAAAAGTCATGATGAAAGTTGGGAGCTAGAATTGAGCCATATTTGATGCATTACATTGCAGAAGGTGAGAATTTACAGTCCTGATCTTGGTGTAAATTAAAGGGAACGGGAAGCAATTGTTTTTCAAGTAGGGGTTAGATTGTATTTTAATAATGCAGCAAAAGGGTGCGATAAAATTTAGGAGTTGCATTTAAGCCTTTGGAAATAGAGAACAGAAGTTGAGAACTTAAGCTGCTCATCTAGTTGCAGGTTGACTGTGATTGTGTCCATCAAACTCTCTCAGCCAAATCTACAGGGCTGCATATGTCCTCTTATGTGCCTGAAGAGAAAGCAGGATGTGAATTTAACAGAGATAAATAAATACCATTCCATTTATTTACCATTTAATCTATAGCGATCATAATGATGCAAGATTACAATTGGACATGGAAGTTCATGCAATAAAAGACCTTGGGAAAAAGGTATCTGTGGGTTATAGAAAAAAAATACATTTCTGAGGTTAGTTGAGGTATACCAACCATAAGAACCAAGTGTACATTGTATTTTAGCTCGCCTATGGCTCTTTTGCTCCAAAGAAGCATGGGACAAAGATGGCTGCTTCCTTTTACCGCATGGCTCCCAATGAAAGCCTTCAGATTGTGGGGATTATCCATTTGCTGAAGTACTTTGGATGGATATGGGTTGGTCTTTTAATTATGGATGATGACAGTGGAGACAATTTTCTCCAAGCCTTGGACCCACTTCTTTCTGAGAACAGAATCTGTTCTGCCTTTGTGGAGAGAATGCCCAAACAAGTATTTTTTTTTATGTTTCAAAATCAAATAGTGGAAAGGATATATGTTTTTTTGTTGGATACCAAAATAAATGCATTCATCTTCTATGGGGACAGCACAACACTGATCCTTCTGCTAATGTTCTTTAAATATTACAACAGTTGGAAAGAAGTGGGAAAAATATGGATCCTAAGTGCTCAAATGGATTTAATGTTAACAAGCTTTCATCGACCCTCAGATCTGCAATTGTTCGATGGAGCAATTTCCTTTGATATTCACTCCAATGAATTGCCAGGATTCAGTGAATTCCTTGGGGCCATCAAACCATTCCAGACCCAACGAGATAGTTTGTTGAAAGAATTCTGGGAGCAAGCCTTTGATTGTTTTTTTTCAGAGAGCAATAAACTGGAAGAAAGTAGTGAAGCATGTACTGGGAAGGAAGATCTAAAAAAACTTCCTGCAAATTTATTTGAAATGACTGGCCACAGCTACAGTATCTACAATGCAGCATGTGCTTTAGCACATGCTGTTCATCGCATGAACTTACTTATATCTAAATACAAAAGAATAAAAGAGAGTAGAAGGAATGAACTTCGAGATCAAGAAACATGGAAGGTAATAACTTGTGAATTAAAGACTTTTTGTAAGGTCTTGCCTCAGCTATTCACTCAAGAAAGCAGAACTCCTGAAGTAAGCAACATTTCAAAAGGAACTTTTACTGAGAGATAGTGATTGCAGAGAAAGCAGGCAGGATTTAAAATTCTCACGCGAAAACTTTAGGTTAAATCCCATTCATCAAAACCCATCCTAACCACCCAGTCCTATAGAGAGCCAATCCAGAAGTTCAAAGTGTTGTGGGAACTCCTGAGAAGGTGATAGGAAGTTTTTCTCTTGTGCGGTGATCTTGGTTCTCCAGAGCCGCGACAAAGGAGATGGCGCCAAGCTCATCCCTCATCCCTCCGATTCCCCAGAAGATACATCAAAGCAAAAGAGAAACAAAGCAAAATGGACCCATCACAGAAAAGCCCCAAGGTTCCCCCCTTCCACCAGGATGGCAGTGTCCCAAGCGGGATCTATGGGGACCTGACACTTTTATTTCCACGAGCAGATTTGTATCATTTAAAGCTATACTGAGTATCCTACTGATTCTCAATTTATTGAGGAAGTAGTGATGTATACAAGACCTGTGGAAACTGACTTATTCACTTCTGTAAAGAGGTTGAAGCTAATGGGAGACACGATGACAGTCTACCAGTCTACCCTTCAGGTGAAGGGCTGTCACCTGAAAGAGATTGTGGGTTTATTCCCCATAACAACTCAGTGAACCACAAATAGTTTTCTACTTCTATAAGTCCACTGTTCTTTCTCTACTTTGACTAAGAGAAAAACTACAGTTTCTACTGACAAAAGATACATCCAATAGGTTGGTTGAAATAGGATATCAGAATAATAGAATAGAAAGGGACCTTGAATGGCCTTTTCCAAATCCCCGCTCAAGCAGAAGACCCTATACCATTTCAGACAAATGGCTGTCCAATCTCTTCTTGAAAGCCTCCAGTGATGGAGCTCGTACAGCTTCTGGAGGCATGTTGTTCTACTGATTTCTCCTTAGTTCTAGATTGGTTCTCTCCTTGATTAGTTTCCCTCCATTGCTTCCTATCCTGCCTTCAGGTGCTTTGCAGAATAGGTTGACCCCTCTTCTTTCTGGTAGCCACTCAAATATTAGAACACTACTTTTATTAAACTAGACATACCCAATTCCTGCAAACATTCTTAATATGTTTTAGCCTCCAACTCCCTAATAATCTTTGTTGCTCTTCTCTGCATTCTTTAAAGAGTGATAAAATGAAAAAAATACTGGCTTCTCAATCTTTGATAGAATCCAGCTCTGGAAGAGATGTTAAGCCATGACATAACTTATTTTGTTTTTGATTCTAGTTATCTGGATTGCACATGTCCACTACCAGGCACAATGATGTCAGTATGATCACAGGTGCCCCAGTTTTGTCTATCCAGTGGAAGCCCATAATAAAGAGTTGAGAATATAATAAAACTTTAGACAAGTGATCAGAAATTTGAGAAAGTGGACTAAGAAATGTTGTATATCCAACTTTACTGTGGTTCACACAGCAAAGCTTTTGAGTTAGTTGTATGAAAGCTGTCTTGAATGCATTTTGGTCAATATAAAAGGGGGGGGGGAAATAACATTGTCATAGGTGTATACTATAGGATCCCCAACCAAACAGAGGAAATAAATGAACTTTTTGATAGTCAGCTAACTAGGGTGTGTAGGAAGCACATCACAATAGTAATGGGGGACTTTAATTACCCTGACATCAACTGGGAGACCAACTCTGTACCAAGTGGAAGATCAAACAGATTCCTGACAAACCTAGCAGACAACTTTGTCCCCAAAAAGTAGAGAAGGGAAATAGGGGATTAGCCATATTGGATCTAATCCTCACTAACAGAGATGAAATGATAGAAGGTGTTGAAGACACAGGAACCTTGGGGGGAAGTGATCATGCAATATTGGAATTAAACATTATGGCAGCACAAGCAATAGAACACAGTCAAACTAGAGTCTTGGCCTTTAAGAGAGCTAATTTCAACATACTTAGAAAGAGCTTGGGAAGGATTCCATGGATGAAAATTCTCAAGGGGAAAACAACTCAAGAAGCTTGGGAAATTTTGAAAAGTGAGATAATAAAAGCTCAGTCTAGTACAATACCAACAAAAAAGAAAAATAACAGCTTCAAAAGAAACCAGCATGGCTGCATAAAGAACTCTCTGATACATTGAAAGATAAAAAGGACTATAGAAAGTGGAAAGAGGGGCACATAACTAAGGCAGAATATCAGCAAATAGCTGGAGCCTGCAAAGATGAGGAACGCTAAGACTCAAAATAAACTAAGGCTTGTGACCAAAGTAAAAAACAACAACAAAAAAAGCTTCTTTCAACATGTAAAAAACAAGAAAAAAGTTAAGGAAATGATTGGTCCATTAGTGGATGAAAGTGGCAAGAAGGTGACAAGCAACAGGGAGAAAGCAGAACTATTTAACTCATTTTTTTTTTTGCATCTGTCTTCACACAAAGGGAAAAAACAGTCCAACCTATCAAAAAGAGTACCATAAAAAACAGGTTAGAAACACAACATAAGATAAGCAAGAAAATGGTAAGTGAGCATCTGTCCAGCCTAGACGAGTTCAAATCACCAGGACCAGATGGATTACACTCCAAGGTTCTCAAGGAACTGGCAGATGTGATCTCAGAACCACTGAACTATATTTTTCAAAGATCCTGGAGCACAAAGTAATTACCAGAGGACTGGAAAAGAGCTGATGTAGTTCCCATCTTCAAATAAGGGAAAACAATGGATCCAGGAAACTACAGACCTATCAGCATGACCTCAATACCTAGGAAGATTCTGGAAAAGATAATCAAACAACGGATCAGCAAACACCTAGAGGCAAACAAAGCCATTACTAAAAGCCAACATGGGTTTGTCAAAAACAGATCATGCCATACAAATCTTATTGAATTCTTTGACCAAGTGACAAAATTAGTGGACCAGAGGAATGCTGTGGATATAATTTACTTGGACCTTAGAAAGGCATTTGATAAAGTAGATCACAACATGCTATTTGATAATATAGAAAAATGTGGGTTAGACAGCATCACCACCAGATGGATTTGAAACTGGCTGACCGGCCATACTCAGCGTGTGGTCCTCAATGGAACTGCATTTACATGGAGGGAAGTGTGTAGTGGGGTGGCCCAGGGCTCTGTTCTGGGCCCAGTGCTCTTCAACATCTCCATCAATTATCCGGACGAGGGGGTAGATGGGGAACTCATCAAATTTGCAGACGACAACAAGCTGGCAGGAATAGCCAACACTCCAGAAGACAGGCTTAAGATACAGGAGGATCTGGACAGACTTAAACACTGGGCGCTATCTAACAAAATGAAATTCAATGGTGAAAAAAATAATGTTCCACATTTAGGCAAAAAAAACCAAACGTACAGGTATAGTGGGTTAGACCACTATATGGATTTGTAGCTGATTCACCAACCACACTCAATATGTAGTCCTAAGTGGAACTGCATTTACATGGAAGGAAGTATGCAGTAGGGTACCTCAAGGTTCTGTCGTGCAACTAGTACTCTTGAATATCTTCATCAATAATTTAAACAAGGGATAGAAGGGAAACTCATCAAATCTGCTGATGCTACCAAGCTGGAAGGAATAGCCAACATTGCAGAAGAAAGATGCAAGATACAAAAAAATCTTGACAGACTCAAACATTGGGCCTTACCTAACAAAATGAAGTTCAGTCATGAGAAAAGTAAGGTTCTACATTTATGGAAAAAAACCAAATGCACAGATATAGAATAGGTGGTACTTTGCTCAATAGTAGTAACTGTGAAAGGGATCTCTGAGTCCTAGTGGACAATCACTGAAATATGAGCCAGCAGTGTGCTGCAGCTGCCAAAAAAGCCAATACAGTGCTAGGCTGCATTAATAGAGGGATAGAATCAAGATCACGTGAAGTATTAATACCACTTTACAATGCCTTGGTAAGGCCACACTTGGAATACTTCATCCAGTTTTGGTCACCACAATGTAAAAAAGATGTTGGGACTCTAGAAAGAGTACAGAGAAGAGCAACAAAGATGATTAGGGGACTGGAGATTAAAACATATAAAGAACGGTTGCTGGAATTGGGTATGTCTAGTTTAATGAAAAGAAGGATTAGGGGTGACATGATAGCAGTATTCCAATATCTCAGGGGTTGTGACAAAGAAGAGGGAGTCAAGCTATTCTCCAAAGCGCCTGAAGGCAGGACAAGAAGCAATGGATGGAAACTAATCAAGGCGAGAAGCAACCTAGAACTAAGGAGAATCTTCCTGACAGTTAGAACAATTAACCAGTGGAACAACCTGCCTCCAGAAGCGATAAATGCTCCAACACTGGAAGTTTTTAAGAGGAGACTGGACAGCCATTTGTCTGTAATGGTATAGGGTTTCCTGCCTGAGCAGGGGGTTGGACTTGATGGCCTCCAAGGTCCCTTCCAACTTGATGATGATGATGATGATGATGATGATGATGATGATGATGATGATGATGATGATGATGATGATTATGATTATGATTATTACAATAGTGTAAAAAGGGAATAACTGACTCCTCATGTCATGATTGGGACAAGATCATCTGAAAGCCCATCAACTAGAATGAGTAGGAGGAAAATACCCAACTTTAATCCTTGCAGCTAGTAGTCAGAGACACGTTTAAATTGGTGAATTTTTGTTTGTTGTCTGCTTGTACTAAGCTAAGTATTGAGTCTCACAGTAGGTATTTTTTAAAGTACTTTTTTCAGTTAATCCAGAGAGAGGAAGTTAGGGAATAGCTTGGAAGCAATCTTATGCAATACAGGGAGAAGTGTTAGAGAGATTTCTAGGTGGGGCAATTCATTTCATGATCCTATGACACCCGCTTCTCTATTTAAGCTTGTAGATTAGAGGCTGACCTTGCAGAATTACTGAGATCTTCCGTCCTGAATTCCATCCTGGTTTATCAACAGGTCTTGCCCCGTTCAGTGTGTAATAACCCCTGTCCTGCTGGCTATCATCAGAAAAAGAAAGAAGGCGAGACATTTTGCTGTTATGATTGTGATCCATGTTCCGATGGGAAGGTATCAAACATGTCAGGTAAATTATTTTCTATTTACTCTCTCCTCTCCTCTCCTCCCCTCCCCCTCTCTTACCCTCCCCTCCCTTCTCTGACATATTTGTGGTCAATTATTTTTATTTAGATACACAGCTTATTTGCTTCCTACAGTTATTCTAGTACAAATTCACATACTGGAAGATTTCTCAGGGTGGTTTTCATTATAATAGGTAATACTAGAGTAAGAACTGTTCAAATAATTCTTAAAATAAATAAAAAGAATGATAGAGGCCCCAAATCAATAGATAGAAACATACATCCCTAGATATCTTGGTGCCCATAGAAAATGCCAAGTTTGATCATGTGACTGAAGCCCAATCCTCTGTTTTATGTGTATGTACTATATATAACCACACTAAATTGGTAAGAATTCAGTCACAGGGATGGGCCCACCATGTTGGCTTTGGGGACACTTTAGGACACTGCTATTCATACATATCTGTGCCTAACATTTGGACATGGAAGGCTTGAAGGGATGTGATTTCAGGAGAGCTTCTGGAATATTTTCAGTATGGAAATTCAGCTTGCTGAATCTGATTATCTAATGAGCTAATCAAATGGTTTTCAAACTTAACCACTTTAAGAGATGAACCAAAATCCCAGAATTCTCCAGACAGAATTCTCAGAGTTGAAGGCCAGGCTTTATATAGTGTCTAAGTTTACAAAACACTGATTTAATCTAAATTATATATTTTATTTTGTGCTCCATGTTAATATTCCTCTCTCTTATTTGTAGATATGATTGCTTGTTCTGAATGTCCAGAAGATCAATATTCAAGTAAGGATAAAGTTCAATGCATCCCCAAAATTATAACTTTTCTAACCTTTGATGAACCTTTAGGGATCAGTTTAATGGTAGTTGCTTTTTTATTTTCAGTCATTATCATGCTCATACTTGGAATATTTATTAAGTATAAGGACACCTCTATTGTTAAAGCTAACAACAAGGATCTCACCTACACTCTCCTCATCTCCCTTCTGCTTTGCTTCCTCTGCTCTTTTCTCTTCCTTGGAAAACCTTTCAAACTGATTTGCTTCATCAGACAATCTGTGCTTGGCATTATCTTCTCTGTTGCCATTTCTTCTATATTGGCCAAAACTATCATGGTCATTGGAGCATTCATGGCTATCAAACCAGGGTCTGGCATGAGAAAATGGTTGGGGAAAAGACTGTCCATCTTAATTATTTTTTCTGGCTCCTTCATTCAAGCAGGCATTTGTCTGGCATGGATGATCACCTCTCCCCCTTTTCCAGAACTTAACTTGAAATCAATGATTAAAGAGATCATAGCAGAATGTAATGAAGGATCTGTTGTGATGTTTTATCTTGTCTTGGGCTATATGGGGTTTCTTTCTCTGGTCAGCTTCATGGTGGCTTTCCTAGCTAGGAACCTGCCAGACACATTCAACGAAGCCAAGTTCATCACTTTTAGCATGCTGATGTTTTGTAGTGTTTGGTTAACTTTTGTTCCAACCTATGTGAGCACCAAAGGAAAGTGTATGGTAGCTGTGGAGATCTTCTCCATCATAGCTTCTAGTGCTGGGTTATTGGGAAGTATCTTTTTCCCCAAATGCTACATTATTTTGTTGAGGCCTGACCTTAACAGCAAAGAGCAACTTGTAAAGAAGAAGCATTTCTGACTAATTATGGGTATATTTATTTCTATTGTGAAATGGAATTAGCAATCCTTTTCTAAGAATAAAAACTATGCTTGTTTATTAGCCATGGCAATTTTATTGATATTTAATTTGTATAACTCTATAGCAGTGTTTGTCAAAATCTTATGAGGTGACATGGAAAATAAAATATTTCACTGTATAATGAGTGATTCTGGTTTCAATAAAGTATTTTCTCTTATTTCTGATTATTTACAAAACTTATTTAATGAATAAAATAATAGGTCTTCTTCCAGGTTTGATAATTATAAACAATAATGTAATATCTGTAATATATTTTGGATCTTTATCATCATGAAACAGAGAAGAGAAAAAGAAAGGGAAGGAAAAAAGAAAACATTATAAACAATTTGCTTCTTAATACCAGTTACAAGTAAATTTCCATTGTAAATCTACAGTATACATTTCTCTCTGTATGGTTGCAACATAGACACATTCCTTAACTTAGGACCTGGTTGCAGGAATTGGGCATGGCCAGTCTAGAGAAAAGAAGGACTAGGGATGACATGATAGCAGTATTCCAGAATTTGAGGGGCTGCCACAAAGAGGGAGGGTCAGCTTATTTTCCAAAGCACCAGCAGTTAAGACAAAAAACAATGGATGGAAACTAATCAAGGAGAGAAGCAAACTGGAATTAAGGAGAAACTTCGTAAAAACGAGGACAATTAACCAGTGGAACAGCTTGTCTTCAGAAGTTTGGGTGCTCCCAAAGTGATTGGACAATCACTTGTCAGAAATGGTATTGGGTCTACTGCTTGAGTGAGAGTTGGACTAGAAGACCTCCAAGGTCCCTTCTAGCTTTATTCTGATTGCTTGATGGTGATGAATGAAGGGACTATAAGCCATGATCAAAATTATGGCAATTTCAGGGCCTCTGGGGAGGAGGGTCATATCACCAAAATTTGACAACGTGGCAGCCTGATCACATTTATCAACCACAGGGGTGTTTCAGCTATCTCCCCTCCAACTAACCTTTCCCTCTCCCCAATATTTTCCCCTTTTGCCCTCTTTTTTTGCTCCATTGCCTCAGCTGACCTTCAGCATCTTGTTACTTCTGCTGCTGACCCGGCATGGCTGGCCTGGGTTTCAGCTATGGAAAAAAACACTAAATAGCCTCTTTGCAAAGAGTTTCTGGGCAAGGCTGAGCACCAGGTTCCAAAAAGAAAAAAAAAATCAAAGTAAGCTTCTTGGCAGGGCTGGGAATGATTTTGGAAAAGATAATCAAGCATCAAATTGGTGAACACCTAGAGGCAAACAAAGTCATAAGCAGAAGCCAATATAGATTTATTAAAAACAGATCATGCCAGACAAATCTTATAGCATTCTTTGTCAAAATTACAAAATTAATGGACCATCAAAATGCTGTGGATATAATTTACTTGGACTTCAGTAAAGTATCTGATAAAGTTGACCTCAACCTACTACTTGATAAGATAGAAAAATGTGGGTTAGACAGGATCAACACCAAATGGATTTGTACAGTAAGTGGCTGACCAACCACACTCAACGTGTAGTCCTAAGTGGAACTGCATTTACATGGAAGGAAGTATGCAGTGGGATACCCCAAGGCTCTTTCTTAGTCCCAGTGTCAAGGTTCTGACTAATGGACCCAAACAAATCAGAACTCTGAGGCTTGAAGTTTCCTCAAAGAACATGTTTATTGGATACATAATATCGGCACAGTCAAAAATGAAACCAACTCTAAACTTCCCCCCAAGAATTCAATGTAACTAAATGTAACACTTCCCTATCCTTACTATGCTATTGATCATGCTACCCAATGGCGGCAATTGACACTTTTTCTCTCCACCTTCCAGCACCTTGGAATGACCTTGGTTCCTATGGGATCACTCTATGTTTAGTCTAGCAATCCTTTTGGTTTCTTCCCCCCCTCCCCCCCAACCTGTGTGGCAATTGAGAATGACAAAAATGGCTTCAGCCAGGTTCATTTCAGAATGTTGACACCCAGTACTCTTCAATATCTTCATCAATGATTTAGACAAGGGGATAGAAGGGGAATTCTTCAAATCTGCAGATGACACCAGGCTGTCAGGAATAGGCAACACTCCAGAAAATAGACACAAGATGCAAAAAGATCTTGAGAGACATGAACACTGGGCCCTATCTAACAAAATAAAATTCAGTCATGAGAAAAGTAAGGTGCCACATTTAGGTAAGAAAAACCAAATGCACAGGTATAGAATATGTGGTACCTGGTTCAACAGTAGCAGCTGCGAAAGGGATCCTGGAGCCCTAGTGGACAATCATTTGAATATGAGCCAGCATTGTGCTGAAGCTGCCAAAAAGCCAATACAGTCCTAGACTGCATTAACTGAGGGATAGAATTAAGATCATGTAAAGGGTTAATACCACTTTATAATGCCTTGTATTATCTATACGGTGTAAAAAACAGAAAGAGTGCAGAGAAGAGCAACAAAGAGGATCAGGGGACTGGAAGTTATAACATATGAAAAACAGTTGCAGGAATTGTGTATTCTAGTTTAATGAAAAGAAGGACTAGGGGTGATATGATAGCAATATTCCAATATCAAAACGGCTCCTACAAAGGAGAGCAAGACAAGCTATTCTCCAAAGCACCTTAAGGCAGGACAAGAAGCAACAGATGGAAACTAATCAAGAAAGGAAGCAACCTGGAAGCAAGGAGAAAGTTCCTGACAATTAGAACAATTAATCAGTGGAACAACTTGCCTCCAGAAGTTGTGGGTGCTCTAACACTGGAGGTATTTAAGAAGATATCAGACAACCATTTGTCTGAAATTTTAAAGGATTTCCTGCTTGAGCAGGAGATTGGACTAGAAGACCTCCAAGGTCTCTTCCAACTCTATTATTCTCTTATTGTATTATTCCTAAATCTAACTGGGATCAAAGAAATCACCTTAAGGCTTACTAGGGGATTTAATAGAATTCATACAGAGGATGAAATCTTGAACTTTCCTTCAAGCTCTTAGAGGAAATTTGGGATTGGTCTTCAAAAAAAAAAAAAAAAAGCCAGGTTAAGTGTCAATCAGAATAAGCAAGTATCATGCTTGTACTTATTCTGCATATGCATATTTTAGAAAAGAATAAGGAACCTCTAGAACAGGGGTGTCAAACTTCCGGCCCATGGGCTGGATGCATCATAGTGAAACCACGCCCACCCCATTGCTGGCAATGGCAAAAAAGTCGCGATACG